GCTATGTAGTTCAAGCTGTCATGGAACTCATGGCAATCTTAACTGCCTCAGCCTCCCAAGTGCCGCTCACTCTGTTTGTCTAAGGAAGGTATGATCATCATGCTTCAAGCACTACTACTTAATCCAGCTTTTAAGAATTAATTTTTGAGGGCTGGCCAAATAGCAAGCAGGGGCCAGGGGTTCAGATCCCCGGGCCTGCCATACTGTAAACAGGCAGATCACTACGAGTCCGATCTAGTAGTAAGACCCTGAACATCCTGTAGACCATTCCCTAAAAACACAAAAAAAAAAAAAAACAGGCATTAATTTTTGTTCTTGATTCACAGAAAGAAACAGAAGTCAAAGAACGATCTGTGTTTGACATCCCTATATTTACAGAGGAGTTCCTGAACCACAGTAAAGGTGATTACTGCACTACAATATTTCTGTGTCCATGGGCCTTTGACAGGGGATTTAGTTCTCCAGAGGAGTTCATTGCTCAAAAGCAGTGGTAGTAATAGATCTCCTGCTTCTATTTCACTCTGTTGAAAAAGCAGCTACTCAAAGACCAGTGAAGGAGAGATAGGCCAGTGTTGTAAAGCTTCTTGGTCTCTACATCAAAAGAAACAAATGTAAATCACAAGTGCGGTTGCTTCCAGACTGCTGGCTGGAACTCTGTGTACCAGTGAAAGCCTTCACGAGAATCTGAAACACAGTGAGTGATTGCAGAGCTGCTCCTTTGCAGTACAGATGGGCACCATGTAGCTGGGCCTGGCCAACCTCTCAGGATCCACCCTGCTTCCCATTGGATTTCAGACTGCACAGTTTTAAAAAGCAAGAATCAAACAACAAGTGCAGGGAATTGCCACTGTTTGCTATAATACTATGTATAGCACATACAGCTTTAAGAATCAGCTCTGTTGGGGCTGGGGAGATGGCTCAGTGGAATAAATACTCCCTGGCAAGCGCAAGGACCTGAGTTCAATCCCTGGTTCTGCCCGAAAAAAAAAAGAAACAGCTCTAGGGAGCTGGCGTTTCATTGCTGAAATTGTGGTCTAAAGTTCAGTAATGAGAGTAAGGAGATGAGGCAGGGTAGCAAATGAGAGCTGCTGAGCAGAACTTCCTGTAAAAGGCCTGTACCCCTCCAAGACTCCTCCTCATGCTGCCTGTGTTCTGGGTGGGTCCCCAGCGCGTGAGGCTGAGCTGCGCCAGCTCCGGAAGTCCAACATGGAGTTTGAGGAGAGAAATGCAGCACTGCAGAAGCACGTGGAGAGCATGCGCACAGCTGTGGAGAAACTGGAGGTGGACGTGATCCAGGAGCGCAGCCGCAACACAGTCCTACAGCAGCACCTAGAGACCCTGCGGCAGGTGCTGACCAGCAGCTTTGCCAGCATGCCCTTGCCTGGTAACGTCATCCCTTCCTAGCACTTCCAGTGGCAGGGTGGGGGGCTGCTCTTCTTGTTTTTATTGTTATGCAGAGGCTGAGATCTCACTAAGGAAGATCAGTAGAAGTTTTTTTCTCAAGATTTTCTATAGTGTTATGTATCACAAAAGTATACTAATTTAAAAAGAAAACAAAGATTTTCTGTAGATCATGTATTAGACTGTCAGTACTAGCTGGGCATGGTGGCACACAATAATCCCAGCATTGGGGAGGCTGAAGCAGGAAGATTGTGAGTTAGGGACCAGTCTTGGCATCATAGTAAAACTATCTCAAGAAGAAGAAGGGAAACAATAAATAAATAAAGGAGGGGTCGGGCTGGAGATGTAGGTCAGTGGAAGAATGTTTGCCCAATCCATGCAAGGCTCTGCTCTCATTTTCCTGCACCACACTACTAAAAAGAGTCAGTGTTGGGTAAAATCACCTACAATTTCAGGGTCTCTGGTCATATAAATTTTTATCTACCTCTTACTTTAATATAATATGTTTTCCTTTCCATTAAGCTTTATTTTATTTTTATTTTCAGAACAATAGAAATTGGGAAATCCTGAGGAGTGTGCTTTCTTTTAATGTATTTCACTTGCTTTGTATTTGTTTTGTTTTCATGAAATGGAAGAGAAAACAAACACTGATGTATACTCTGTTTGAGGCCAGTGACAGCAGAAGGCTGGCAGTCTAACCTTTCATTACATATAGCTACTTATATATGTTGCCCATCTGTTTATTTATAGTATGTGGATTAACTTCCTCACTTTGAGGTCTAAAAGTCTTCCCTTATAAAATTAAACTCTGCCTATGGAGCAGACCACATTAGAGTCACAAATTGTTTTGCTGTGGATTCCCTCAAATGTTTTACAGTTGAGCTGAATAGGAAGACTTCCCTAATTTGTTTCTCTTCTCTCACTTCAGGAAGTGGTGAGACACCAACAGTGGACACCATTGACTCCTATATGAACAGGCTGCACAGTATTATTTTAGCGAACCCCCAAGACAATGAAACCTTCATAGCTACAGTGCGGGAAGTTGTGAGCAGACTTGATCGCTAGGGAACGGTGAGTGCTCCTTGTTGGGATGTTTCTGTGACAGGTTACTGTGAGAAACCCAGTGTCTTTCAACTCTGTCAGTACTCCTGAAGTCTGAAATTGCATCCAGGAGATGGGCTGGAGGTTTGATTTAGAGTCCTGTTGCGTAGTTGCTAAAATTCCTTCTCAATATTATTAAAAACAGAATCAAGACTTTTTTTCTTGCATGCTTTAGAGTGTGGTTTAATGGATAGAATATGGTTTTTGTGCTTGGACTTTAGTTACTCTCAAATGTTAGTTTTCCAAAGAATTTTGAAGACTTAGAGGAAGTCTCTCCAAAAACAGCTCTCAGAATGAACTATCACGTAATTGTTGATCTCTCTTTTCCCTGGAAAATATTAATGATTTATAAGTGGTCATTGAGACATTTTATATGTATACATGTATGCATAGCTACATAATAAGCATTCTCATTCACCACTTGATAGCGGAATGACTGTAATAAATTTTGTGGACTAACTGTACAGTGAAATAGTTCACACATTTTTTAAAAACTAAAATGAGTAAGAAAAAAATAAGCTTTTAGAAAGTATACACAACAGAGCTAGGTGTGATAGCACACACTTGTATTCCCAGTACTCTGGAGGCTGAGGCAGGAGGATCATTACAATTTTGAGATCAGCCTGGGCTAGAGTGAGCTCAAGGCCACCCTAAACTGCATAGCAAGACTGTGTCTCAAAAAGACAAAAAGAAAGAAAAAGTGAATTCAACAACGAGGAGTAGCATGTGTTATATCCTTTTAGCGGAGTCAGGAAGTACATTTCCAGAAGACACCTGCCTATGTACTCTAATGGCCACAGTCATGTGTTACCATTGCTTAAGTGTTTACTCAGATTTCTAGAGATAGGGTGGTCTTTCATAAATCTTGCCCAAAACCATGGTGTCCTGTGTACTCTGGATTAAGTTGTCCCACACTGCAGACCTGTGAACAGAGTGATAATATGAGTTGGACCAGACAAGAGTCAGCAGCAAGAAATTCCTTCAAAGCTTCATGGGTTTGAATCTTTGTGCTGCAGGTCGAGGAGCACCCTTATATACTTAATTTTGATTATAGCTTGGTTTGGACTGTGAGCAACATGTAGAAGAATAAATAAAACCCATAATTCTTTATCTAATGAGACAGCATGTGCTAGCAGAGACAAAGGCAGAAGTCTTTATCCTCCTTGGCCATTACCTTGTATGCTTACTGTACAAGGCAATTCATTACCCTTCAGTTTGGTCCTTGCTCAGATGGGGAAGGGATTACTGTCCTTACAGTGCGTAGCCAGATGGAACAGACTATACTTCTAAGAGATGACTGGACTCCCTGCAGAATACAGAAATGGCTTTTACTGCTACTGCTTAGGAAAGAAATAGCTTGTAAATCTAGGCCTGGGATTTTCAGAAGCTCATCATTCTTCTCATTTTCACATAGTTTTTTCAGTTAGTACTCTAGTAGGCTTGAAAAGAGAGAGCTGAGAGAAGCAGCTTGATGAGGGTGAAAGAAAACAGTAACTGATAATGTGATGTCTCCTCGCCTAGGTATAGGGCAGTGAGTGCAAGAAGGAAGCCAAAAGTGGCTTCCGCTTCGAGCGTGTTGCCAGTAGGCTCTCCTAAAGCTCTGTTCATCCTAAGAATGTTAACCTGCAGTATCTCTCTCGAAGCGATCTTTGAAGAACCTTGGATGTTACCATTTTCCTTGATTTTTTTAACCTACAAATATTTTGTCCTTGAAAAAATATCTGCAAGTAAACTATTGTATCACTACAGATTTTTATAATCTAGCCGTGCACATGAAACTATGAATACTTGGTTCCCCACATCACCTCCCAGACTGTCAAATGGAACAATTATGAAGCCTGTGATTAATACTAGCTTGGACTCATTATACAAATATGTACAGACAGCTAGGCCTGATGTCCCCAGCACTCGTGCTGCAATTAATTACTCTGACATGCGCTTGGCAAAGAGTTCATTCCACTGTCAGGAGCCAGTGAGTGAAGGGAAGCTAATGGTCTACAAGTTTTAGAGGAGCATAATAAAACAGGAAGGAGCCTTTAGAAATCCAGCGTTTTATTCATGAAGAAACTGAATTCCAAAGAGATGAGATGCCCTGCCTGAAAAATACCTGAGAGGATGAGTACATATACATAACCCTCCATCCAGTGGGTTTCCAAGACATGGTTGTAAGGAGGCACAGCTGGGGGAGGTTAAAAGCAAAGAAAAAAATCTTGTGACAGAGCATTAAGATAAATGGGAAAAAGTGTGATTCAGTAATTATATTACAAAATTTTAGCCCACTTAAGCATTATTTTTATAGATATACAGTGGAAAAGGTATCCCATCTGTAATCGTCTTGAGGCACAAATGGAGCCAGCAGGAGGCCAGGGGGTTTTTAGTTGAGAGGTGACCACATTACATAACCATTAAAATGCATGTTTCCCAGTTTCACTTGAGCCATTTGATAAAAATTCGGCTGTTTCAGGACTGAAAAAAAGTCTTGTGTGGTTGCATTTTTATCACTGAGAAATGCATTGGTCATATGTATACAACATGTTTCTACACATGCAGATACCCTTAAGTTTATGCTCAAAGAGAGCTAGTTTTAATTGGGATACTACTTTCCTCTCCTTGGATTTGTCGGATTTGTCAGTCAGCAGCTGATTTCCTCCCTCCCATTGTTGCTGACCTGGGGCAAGCCCAACTCTTAATTGAAATGTTCTCTGAAACATCTCAGTGAGGCTGCCTGTTTGCAGCACCACACACACCCTGCTCCTCACCCCAACTCTTAAGAAAATAAAACTAAGCACTTTTTAATCATAGTCGTAACTCGTTCCCATTAGCACCTACCTCTTTGGTGTCTCCCTCCCAAATCTACAGGTCTTAGAGTTCCCAGATGTCCCATAAATGTTTTTACTTGTGCAGAATGAGAAACCATCCATGGAAATTGGAACTGTGTGGGGGCCCAGAAGGACCACAGACCCCTCTGCTTGTGAAGAATTGTCAGTGAGTGCAGCGCCTGCACCCCAGGAAACCAGACAAGGGAGCAAGGAGGCACGTGTGTGAGAACTCCCTATGGATCATCTTCGGCAAGCTTTGAAAGTGTACAGCCACTCTCCCGACTCTTCCAGTCTTCCTCTCCTGTCATCTCTATCTCTGTTAAAGCAGATCTGCATATATTCTGCTGACAGGGTGACTCTGAAACCACCGCAGCCCCACCTGCTTGCAGTAGAGAGAGAAATACTTTCCATTGTCGCAGTTCCAATTGGACCCTTTTATCACTGGAGCTCCAGTGTTCTCACCTAACTGTCACTTTTTTTAAATGCCTTTGGGGTGATTTTTCTTTCCTTCACCCCCACCAAGTCATACATCTCTATTTTCTGACCTCTGGGCTGTGTTGCTCAGCAGGGCTGTGAAGGAGCATTTCTCTCATTGGATGCCCCAATCTTCTCCCCTCATTGCCCTGCTGTGACTGCAAAGAGAGGAGCTTCTTGTTGACAGTGCCCTGTGGAGCGAGGCTGTGTTCCCCACCCCACACAGTGCTCAGTGGGTGCCAGCCCTCCTCATGGGCAGCTTTGTGATTGCTGCCCTGAAGGGGAAGGCGCCTTCTTCCTCCCCAAGCTGCCTGCTGTTTTCTGAGCAGTGCTCTTGCACAGACATGGTGTCCCCGCCCCAGCAAGGCTCTTCTGTCCCCATCTGTTGGTAGTATCTTGTGGAGCATTTTGCTGAGGAAAAGGTCATTGGTAAACAGGGAAAAGGGGGAAAAGTAGCTTTTATTTGGTATTTTTTTAACCCCAATTTATCCTAAGTGAAACCTGAGATAATCCCTGTCTTGTTTAGGTGTGAGATTCATGGACTGAGATATAAGCAGTGTTGGAAGTTGTCTCTCAAGCTGGCAGAAAGGGCACAGAGGAATTTTCATGTCCTTTGTCTTCCTTCTGTAGCCATTAACTGCTGAATATGAGCAAAAGGAGGCTTCTTTCCTTCCCTCTCCCTCGTTAAGGGATTTTTTTATTTTTAACAGCAAAAGTAAAGAGAGTTCTGATTATCTCCTCAGGGTCTTTTCTTTTCTCTTTACGTTCTAGAGCACAAGGCTGAAGGTGGCAGCTGAGATCTTTGGAACCAAAGCAGAACATGCTGGGCCTGTGGCCTCGGCACCCCACCACTGAAGGCAGGTGGATGGCAGTGTGGCCCCTCATAGTGTGCCCCAAAGCCCTGGTGCAAGCCAGAAATCCCATCTTGTAGCTGCACCAGTTCCTCTCAACACTGTGATCTTCTTGCCTGTGTTTTATCAGTCCCAAGGAAATTAAGAGCAACAAGAAGTCTCGCTTTGTGATGTCTTGTATGAACACACATACAGTTTCTGTGCACTGAATTCCACCTGCCACCACTTGGCAGGTTTTAGAATAAGACCCCTTCTGTCATGCTCTGTTACTGTAAAGCCAGCAGCTCTCCTGCCTCTCTCTTCTCATTTCCTCTCAGCTGACTGTTTTTGCCTCTTAGATTCTTTGTGTGCTGAGTCCAACCTAGAACTTGCCGTCTGTGGCAGAAGGACGTCAAAGCTGGCTCTGGAAGTTGGTGTCTGCCTTCTGCCAGATGCTTTCTGTCCCCTCTTCCTTCCTGTCTGTATTTCTGTTTCTGCTTTCTGTTCAGTTTCGTGCAGCGTCAGCAGCCCTGCTTTTTTGGCCAGGAAGGGCTGTGACTAGCTGGGCACCTCACAGTGAGTGGACACGTGTGCATGTGCAGAGACACAGCTGGGGGCAGCCACACACACAGAAGCAGCTGCATACCTGCCTCAAGGTGCTGTGCAGCCGTGAAGTTGTGGGGAGAGGCCTGTGCTATTCTTTGTCCTGTCACAGGCTGGCATAACACCGCATTGTTGTGTTCCAGGAAACCAGTAGACACTCCCGCACTGACATGTTCTCTTTAAGAAATAAGCTGTTGCCTATTCAGTGTTAAAGGCTCCCTTCTTTCTTTTTAGTAAAACATGAGGAGCAACTGAGAAAAGGGAGACAAGGTGTTCTATTTCTGACAAATTTTAGAAAAAATATTGTGTACGTGTGTTTGGAACTGTTGAAATGCCAGGTTTTCTGTACAAGTGTTTTTGTAATTAAACTTTTAGATTTTCTTTGTTTTTAAAGAAGTTGATATGCCTGCTTGACATTTGTCTCATTAAAACTTTTTTATGTTGAATCTACCTGATCCAGTATTACTTGTATTGTAGTAAAAAAAAAAAAAATCTTACTGCTGCTTTTTCTTCATAAAGGCTTTGTCAACTCTACATTAATCAAGTCTGCTAGGCTTTCAAAACAGTAGCACATTCATTTTACTAATTGCTTATTCAAAATGTGTCTTCACCTGTTTGAAAATTCAGCTCTTCAATGTATATTACAACAATACAGTGAGTCCTAATTTATTTTAATATGGCAGTAGTATTCTGGAGGCAGCTTGGAGGATGTGTTTAAAGTTAGTGACTCTAAAGTCTCCTTGATAGATCTTTTGACAGAAGTAAGCTGTGCTTAAATGTTTGCTTTAAAAAAAAAAAAAAGCACTATTTATGCAATCGAAATGCTTTTGAGATCCTTAGGGTAAGGCCTGGCTTCCAGTGCCTGCTGCTCTCCAGGTAGCCAGCTGTGTGACGTCGCCTTGTTTCAACTCCAGCTTCCTCCTGTGACAACACACACCTGAGTGCTTACAGTATTATTATAAGACTAGAAGTAGAGGGCTGGTGAGATGGCTCAGTGGTCTAAAGTACCTACTTAGAACAGCTTAGCAAAGCACAGGGACCGCGGTTCAATCCCCCAGCACCACATGCCAGCCAGCCCCGCCCCCTGGTGGGCTGAGCTGGCCACACACACACACAAATAAATAAATAAATAAAATGTAAAGAGTTCTCAAATTGTAAAAAAAGAATAGAATTAGAGGAACAGAAACCACCGTGAGATACCAAGGTGTCAGAGTTAGGATGAATTCTGACTACATGTAACAGAAATCCAAATCAGCAACAGCATTAATAAGAAGCAGATTCACCTCCTATAAGTGCATGCTAGCCTGAGACCAGCCAGCATGGAGACTCGTCTGCACCACAGCATGGTTTCTTTGTCAAGGTCACTTCATGATCCAGAATAGACACTTGGCCAACAGCCATCACTTTGAAGTTCCTGGCAGTGTGAAAGAAGGCAAGGACAGATCAGGCAGATGAGCCTAGATTTCCAAGAGTCTTCCTGGAAATCATACTCAACACTTTCACTTAATGTGGCCAGAACCCAGTCATGTCCAAGAAATGTCATATCCTTGTGTACTGCCCCAAGTTTTAGTAGAGAAGAAAGAAGAAAATACATAGTAGACATTGAAGTAATGGTAGTACTCATGTGTGTGACTACACTGAGCCCAGTCCAGCTGTGTTAGTGAATGGGATGTCTTTCTTTCCTTTGTCTCTTCGCCTTTTTCCGTACCGCCTCCCAAACTAGAAAACAAACCAGTTTCAGTCTGAATTGGCATTTCCTGGTCCTACCTTACCTTCTCCCCTACCCTTCAACAGCTGGTGGCCAGGTTTGTTTGGCAAAAGTCAACATAAACAGGTGGTAATATTTCCCTTATTTGTTTGTGCCCTTTCTCTCAACTGCTCAGCATCTGCTGGATTAAAACAACACCAGCATAATCTCCCCCTAAGGGTGGGGATATTGAAGTACTGTTTGACAGAAAAGCTCATAGCTACTTCCTGCCCTCTGAAAGAATTTCCTGTCTTGCAACCAAGAGCTCCAAATCAAAGGTTTTTTCTTTGTTGTGTTTACCTTTGACACAGCCTGCACTCAATACTAGATGCTTTACAGTATCCATAGACATAAACATTATTTGCTAATGTGCTAACTCATAAAGATGAGGCTTGGGAGTCAGAAAGATCAAGTGAAAATGTTAATGCCTAGCAAAAGGCGGAATGGAGAAGGCGCCTCCAGAGCATAGGACTGGCACTGGGAAATTAAGAGCAGACAGTGCAGATTTTCCAGGTGGAGGGAATTTTGTAAATCACCCGCAAGGCTAGGTCATTTGAGGAAAAAAGGACTAGGGACAAGGTTTCTTCTTTGTTTCCAACATCTAAGGATTCTTTATATCAGCTCATCTCCATTTCAGTTCACTATTTGGTCTTAAAAAGGTATTCATAAAATGTGATTTCAGAAAACTCAGTGGGAAAGAGATGTACATATATAAAAAGTTCTGACATAACAGACATCTACACAAATGGTAGAAATAAAGATGTAATAAAGGTAACTTAAAAACCAAGGTCTTGCAAAGTCCTTAAGACTTGAAATGCTCCTGCCTCATGGCCCAGTGTGCTACACAGGTGTGCCCCACTCAGCCTGACTAGAGGTCAGAGTACAAGAGGAAGTAGATTTGATCTGGAGAGATTAGTAACTAATAAGGACTTTGTCTGGAATGTAAATAAAATTTATTTATTTATTTTGCTGTACTGGGGGTTGAACCCAGGCTGTACTTTGAGGCTACATCCCCACCCAGTGCTCAGTAGTTGGTTTTTGTTTTTGATTTTCATTATTTTGTATTTGTAGTACTGGTATCAAGCTTGGAATCTTTACATGCTCCATTCCTTTTGAGACAAAGTATTGCTAAATTGTCCATCCTGGGCTCAAACTTGAAATCTTCCTGCCTCAGCCTTCCAGAGTGCAGAGATTACAAGCATGCCCCACCATCACACCTGTCTCCCCTGTAGAGTTTTTCTGTGGCATTCATGTAAAGCAGTAGTATTTGTCACAAAGTAAACGATTTTTAAAAAGTGAAAGATAAATACAGACTTGTGATTTATGGAAGACTCAGGAGAAAAATAACAAGTAGACACAATACTATAGGCCAACCATTCTGTTCTGCTTTTATATAAATTATTTAAATCATACCCCAGTTTTACAGAGTAGAACTACTATACTCGCTTTATAGAGAAGTAGATAGAATCAGAGATGAGACATGACAGGTGGTTATACAACTAGGAGCTAGTAGAGAAAGGACTGATACCCAGAGGATTCTGACTCAATGTCCCACTGTACCCAAAGTTCCAATGCGTAACGGGACCCTCGGAGCCCAACGAGCAGCACACAGCTCCAGTGTTTCTGCAATGTCTTTTCTGGGCTCCATGGAGTTTATCTCCTGCTGAGGAAAGTGAGACTGTAACCTGTGACTAACACAGCCACTGACCAGGAAGAGATGAAATGATAGGAACTAGGGCAGAGGAAAAGCTTTTCTGAAAATGTCTCTCTGGCCCTTTGCACTGAGCTACATCCTCATTCTTTTATATTTTCCTTTCCTTTTTTTTGAGATAGGATCACACCAACTTGCTAAATTCCCCAGGTGGGCTCAAATTTGCCATCTTAATGCCTCAGCCTCACAGAGTGGTGGGTACCATGGAAAGTATCTTTTTTTTTTTTTTTTTTTTTTTTTAGGAACCAGGGATTGAACTCAGGCCCTTGTGCTTGCCAGGGAAGCGCTTACTCCACTGAGCCATCTCCCCGAAAAGTATCTTTTGAAGAAAGCTAAGATTGGATTTATTGTGGGCGGGGGAGATAGCACAGCAGCATAAGTGCTTGCCTGGCAAGCCCAAGGTCCTGAGTTTGATCCCCAGTACTGCAACAAAAAAAAAAGATTGGCTTTATGGAGCCTGTCATAGAAAAGGCTGAGGGGATAGCAAAAAGGGGCTCTGGAATTCCAAGGAACAGCTCAAAGGATGGAGCGGTAGTCAAAAATGGAGTGGTGCCCAAGAGCTGAAATTGTATTGGAAGTGCAACATGGAGAGAGCTCCACACAGTGAATTCCAAGGCCGGATTTGGATTGTTAGGGACTTCTCACTGCTGTGTAGAGAATCGAAGGAGGCAAGAGGAGACCTGCAAGACCTCTTAGCACGTTGGCATTGGCATGAGGTCCATTGAATAGTGACAGCAGCTTGGCCTGGAGGAGGCAGTGGAGGTGACCAAGGAGCAGAGAGGCTCAGGATATAGCTTGGAAGCGTAAATGAAAATCTGTACAAGGTTAGATGTAGAGAATGGAAGAAAAAAAGCAAGGACTCCAGAGCCAGGCATGGTGATGCCCAAATGCAATCACAACTACTCTGGAGGCTGAAGCAGGAGGACTGCAAATTCAAGCCCAGTCTGAACCTCCAAAGGCCCTGCTTCAATCAAAAAGGACCGGGGAGGGTTGGGGAGATAGTGATCGAAGGGCCTGCCTGATTAGCACAAAGACCCAGGTTTGATCCCCAATGCCACATGCTGTGCAGGCTCCAGAACCCCAGGCATGATGTGCTAGGCACTGAAACCAGGCATGGTGGTGCACACCTGTAATCCCAGCACTGGGGAGGCTGAGACAGGAGGATCAGTACAAGTCTGAGCTACAGAGTGAGACCTTGCACCAAATAAGTAAAAGATTTTTCTTTTAATTAAAACAAAGGACTGGGGAAAACAGCTCAGTGGGGGAGAACTTGCCTAGGCTCTGGCTTTAGTCCCCAGCACTGAATTAGGAGTGGGGAGGAAACACAATCGTCCTAGTATTTTGGCTTGAGCAGCTGGGTAGCAGACAGAGGTGTGATTATCTGAGGTGGTGTAGGCTTCAGAACAAAGTACATGGAGGAAAGATGAAGAATTCTGTTTTTGGGCCGGGGAGATGGCTCAGTAGGCTAAGCGCTTGACTGGCAAATGCAAGGATCTGAGTTCAATCCCCGGTTCCGCCAAAAAAAAAAAAGAATTCTGTTTTCGACTGGTTGAATTTAAGATTCCACCAGTGGCAACGCCCTGAACTAAAACCTCTCTGCTATCAGTTTCATAATTCCTTTCAGCCCTTAAAATTCTGTGGTTCTGTTTCCTCCTTATTTCAGGTCAGTGTTTGCTAGGATTCCTTCACTGCTCTGCACACGCACATGAACGCCCCGGCTACTCGAGCTGCTCGCTGAACTGTGAAATTAAGGAATGGGTCTCTTTTTTAATTCTTCAAGCTCCTTAGGAAAAGAAATTTTAAAACCTTGCATGTGGATTTGTTTAGGATTGGCAAAAAGCAACTGAATGCTGTAGAATATAAAAATCATACCATAACCTGGTGGTTAGAAAATCCTGGGTAGTAATGGAAAGTGTCTGCTTGGAGGAGACTGGCCAAAAATATATTTGGCATTCTCCAAAGAAGGGAAATAGGAGATGACATCGCAA